CGAGGCACCGTTAACGAGTTATTAACGAAAAACAGTGACCAATAAGAATCGAGTACGGCTAACGCGAGGCGGCCCAGCCAACCAGCGCACGAAGCCCAGTTCCGCTCATTGGCTCGATCGCCTCGCGCCAGCCGAGCTCGCCTCTCATTGGTCACTGTTTTTCGTTAATAACTCGTTAACCGTGCCTCGGAGAAAATTTTTGTAAAGGAAAAAGTTGCTTCGAATGGCCCGAGGAACCCGCCACTTTCGGATTGCGAGACATTTTTGGGACACCCTGTATATATAGTATCAGACTCTGTACAGTACACGTCAGACTCTGCCGTCCAGAGAAATAGCCTCGCGCAGCATTCAACCGTACCTAAAAGGTTAAGATTTTAACCAAAAGAACCTATTAACAACCTTCTCAATGATACTAAAAGCATTCTCACGTCAAAAAGTAGCGAAAATATTCTACTGCTTTTACTGTTTCTTTTTTTCATTTATTCATTTTTGACACAAATGCATGAAATAATCAGTTTAATTATGAAACGTAGATTCTTAAGACTAGAACCGCCAAATCAATCAAAATGAGTTTTCGATTTTTTCTTTTACAGTTGCTGATATTATGAAATCGTTTTTATAAGAAGAATTTTTGCATGAACTTCTTTAATCTACAATCTTATTGTTATAAAAAAAATGTACATTAGTCGCTCTCAGAAAGATCCAAGCACGCAAGATTTTCCTTCCATCACACTTTTTTTTAATTCACTCGATTAAAGAAAAAACAGTAATCCCAAAGATATAAGAATGAACAGAAAAATCTAACTTGTGCAATAGAAGCAGGATGGTTAACTATTAATTTCAATTAGACTAATTTCAACTAACTGTCGTATTTATTTATATCATTGTGTACATGCGTAGCTATGAACAAATGTAGCACTTCGTATGATTTTTCCCGGAGTTAAAAAAATACCGTAAATCGCACCCGTCGCGCCGGTATGAAAAATATCAAAAGTCAAGCTTTCCTTTCTAATTTGTGGGACGCGACGTTGCAGTTCTCATCGCTCGAAATATGCGCGCCGATGTTCAATAATTTGCATAAATACGACAGATATATTCTCTGGCAGGGCAGAGAAATAAACGAGCAAAATGAGACCGCGAATAAAAAGCACCGCGGAAATGGTGGTATTATTTACCGCGCACAAAAAGTATAAAAATGACGCCGCATTTGTCTGCTGGCCTGGTCTAGACCGTAAACCGGCGGTTGTCCGAGGGTTAAAGATATTTATCGGAAAAACGTGGAAAAAAGAGTGCGAGAGTGCACGAGGCTCGATTCACTGGCAACGCAACGGTAGCGTTACGTAAAATTACCTTTTTCCCCGTTCGGACGTCCGTTTGTTTGTCTTTCATCGTCTTGTTTATGCCCGAAACATATAAATTTCAACGGCCGGTTCTCCAGTTTTCTGTTTGCGTTTGCAAATTGCAGGGCTTCGAAACATATCCAGTGTTCCGAAAGTGTTAATAAATTTCTTGATCCCGGATTTAATGAAAAATATGTTTACGCTGGCCCGTGGTTGTTGCTTCGCGATTTCCATATTCGTGTTTTTTGCTGCGTTTTCGAGAATCTGATCAACGAGAGTTAAATATGTTGAATGAATCGCGTTGACGTTAAATATGGCGCCGCGTTAATGAGTTTTTAAACGGTACGATCGCTGGACATTTAAACAATATGGCGCAAGGCATGGCGCAAGTTTGTGACTACAAGATAGTGTTAGTTATTTGTTGTTAACAGAAACGAAATGCCCCTCCTTGGTATAATAATTATTAGGTAATAATAACAATGATATAATATAATTTATGTATATTATGGGCAGTATAATTCATTGAATTTTAAATGTTGATTGGAGTTTACTAAATCTTGGAGATTATTACTTATGATTTGTGAATGACGTTAGCTCTTGTTTTAATCTTATTTTATCTTATCACCGTTTTTTAGCTTCATATATTCATTATTTTATTTTTATGGTACATTGATTTCTCGTTGTTATGTCACCTCGGCTAGAAAGATAAGGAGCGGGTAAGGATTTTGATAATCAATTATCAAGAATTAGACTATTTCAAAACTACTGTTTAATATTTTTGTGTATCCACCTTTATTTAATTCAACCGGGGAATTTCTGAAATGACCTTGTTGTTACAGTTCGTAAAGTTAAGTATTTAAAAAGAGATGCCGTAGGAAAAATAATTGAAATAATAAATTGAAGATTAAAGAATACGTATCTACAATGGTATGAATAACTATAAATTTTAAGTAACTTTTACATTTATATCGATATTTAAACAAAAATAAAAAAGAACTATATTTATATATTTCTGATACAGAAATATTCAAATACGATGTTTCATTAAGTTTTTGTTTAAATTGTATAACGAAAAATATAAAAGTTACTTTTAGTCGATAATTATTCAAACCACTATACCTTCCACAATTTGTATTTCCATGTTTAACACACAGTCCGTAAAAGGCTAAGTTACTAAAGTTATTAAAGAGTAAGGTAATGAGGCTTCCCATCTACTCACTTTGAAAGGTAACGAAACGGCTAGCAATTTCTCGATTTAATAGCTCCGAACGAATACTCTGCATGAAGGCTCATTGGCATTCTACGCTGTTACCTTTAATTACGGGGCGGAACTGATAAAAGTAAGCTTTAGAGTCTCGTTGAGCCTTCATACAAAGCTGGAAGTGTTCTTTTAACTCGGTCACAAAAGTCTCTCGAACCGAAATCCTTTAAGCAGTTCTAAAAGCTTCTGCTCCCGGAGCAGAACTGTCCTCACATTTTCTTTGTTATCCTTCACACCTTTCATCTGCAAATACACCACTCTAACTAAATGCACAGCGCAAATTTAACATCGAAATTTAATCGAAGAATTTAACCGTTACAACGCCGCTACCGAATCGATAATTCTTGCTTCTTACTATGGGAATGTAATTAATTTCCTCGCAGCTGTAATGCAATAGATCTAATTTATTTCGCACGAGTAATGGAGAAGCAGTAAATTAAGGCTTCGACTATCGTCTGGAACAAATGAAATTAAATAACAACGGAGTAGCTGAAATTACAATTGTCATTAATCCCAGAGCTTCCTTCTCAGGACAAAAGTTTCGTTTTACCCGTCTTCATTGTTACGACTAATTAATCAGATACTGTATCACGTGCAACAGCGTACTCGCTGGAATATCTATAATCCTGGTCACCTAACTGGCTTGATTAAGCTACTAGACATTTTTCAGATCAAATTATATTCTCCGCATCGTCCTCGGTTTAACAAGCTATCCCTTTGTTACCTTTTTTACAATCGTTAACCGTCTGTAGATTTTTCTGCAAATTCGTATTTTCATATTTAATTTTATGAACACTTCATTTTGGAAAATATGTATGTATTGTTAATTTTTATTCTTGAACGTTGCCGTCAAAACGATTAAGATGCCCTTCATATAACGTCTACACTTCCATAAAAAAGCAATGATTACGTGTACCTTAAAAATATTTCATTTTTATTTGAAACTCTGTTTTTCATCTTGGATAGCTTGGTAGATATTTGAGTGGATCAATTTAAACGGGACACCCTGTATATTAGGATTGGAAAATATGTTATGTAAATAACGTACAGTAAATTTTCTCTAATTGTCGCTCAGTTTGTACACAAAAATGGACGATTTGGGAAGAGGAGATACTATTATTCAAGCCTCGCGGTTCATTTTTATAATTATCGATTGCCAACAACTATAAAAATGAGACGCAAGATACGAATAATCCTCTCCAAAATTGTCCATTTTGTGCAGAAAGCTGAGCGTCAATTCGACAGAATTTACTGTATTTCATACTAGTAGGGCATGTGTATCATGTAGGGCACACATCGATGCACATGTGCTTTATTTGATCTTGCTTCTAATATAATTTATAATATTCTTGGAATTCGGCACTGTAAAAAGTTATCAAATATATTTTACATATCAATAGATTATAAAAATGGTCACAATCCGAAAATAAAGTGAAATAACAAGCATTAACGAATAAACGCTTTTTATCGGCTTTCCGGTCACGACTCGCAAACCAAATTAGTTCCACGTACTTACTTTTTAACCGCGGGCAAATTTTTAATTTTTCGGTATGAAATTGCGGGCCAGTTTTATTTGTTATGCAGATGCGTTCCAAGAATCAGATTAAAAAGGATATAAAAAGAGAACCAAAAAGAAAATAAAAAAGTTAGGAAAACATTTAAATTATTATTTTTCAAGCTTAGTTTTCTTTGCTTTTTATAAAATATTTAGAACGCAATTTGTACAAACTTGAAACGAAGCAAATAAAGCAAAAAATACTTTCTGCTTTAAAATTGCTCAAAGCACTACAAAGCTGAGAATATATGAAAATGAAGCTAAGGAAAATGTTACAATGCTAATGACTACTAAAAGAAGAAATATCCACGACAACGCTGTGAAACAAAGAGTCGCTAGCTGATTACCATAATTACGGTTGTCACTTCCAGGAAAATGAATCACTGTTGTGCTCTAGAATCTAGTTATCCGGCAATATCCTTCTTTATATATCATTCTTTACACAAAATTCTCCTACATTACTGTAATATGGCCGTACATTTTGAATATGTGGCTCAAATCCGTAGGATCGATATCTTTTGTCGACGAGGATCGTCTTTTTCGCCAACTTTTGAGAATAAATTAGTATGCCTTTCAGAGGATGGATTTTATATCATAAATTTTGATGCAAGATTTACTCCTGTATCAGACTGAAACAATGTTTCTTCAGATCGAGAAAAAGAATATTAGATTCTCTTAGATTCCTTTTTTTCTACTTGATTTACGAACAAACAGCTAAACTCTTGTGGTATTTCCTCAAGAACCTCTACAAATCCTGTAAAATCTAAATCCTCGACAATTTCTAGATCAAGAGTCGTTTTATTAATTGTGTCTTTACACGAATTATTTACTCTGAATTTAATTCTGTACAACCACAAACGAAAAATGGATTACAATGTGCGATTATTGATTAAATAGAACATCGAATTAACAAAGATTCCAATAGTCTCCTAATGCATTAAACGCGCGTCAAAGAATGTACTCGCGTGAAATATCCATCGATGGATTAATAAAGATAAGAACGAAACGAATGAGGGGTAGGGAAACTTATGTGAGTTAATCGAATTTTAATGCGCGAAGTGCCGTAATAAATTGACCATTTCAACGATGATCATACAGTTCATTATTGTGGAGCGGATAGACTAGAATCGCTAGAACACTAGATGGAGTAGTGGGTCGAAGATGGAATTTTCATCAGAGGCACTGACGCGATCTATCTTGATGTTCGTTCGACAAGCAAAGTGACCGCCAGACAGAGAATAATCAAGATAATATACCAATGAGAAAGCCTTGATGAGGCAAACAGACGACGGTTCCCTGACAGTAACGAGACATCTACAACTGCCTGATGCAGCAATGCGGTCGTAGTTGACAAATCAAGAGAGGCGTCTTTACTTTATGCTACACGTGACGAGCAAATATGTTTACTAGCTGGCAGAAAAATCCGTAGACAATATTGTCGTACGGTAGCTGAAGACAATATTTACTGGTGCGTAGTGTTCTATGTTCAAGAAATCGCCCATCTTGAAACCTAAACTCTCGGCTGAATAAGGTCTCCAACATTCGCAATTCATCGTCCATTTACTTTCTGACGTTTTTCAATGATACGGAAGAAAGAAAACTGAATGCACCATTCTCGAAAACGCTGCAAATTCGAACCTTTGTGAAAGCATTGGACAATTTTTCCTTTTACAATGACCTCATAATAGAAAGATCTTCGCAACCCTAAAAAAAAGTGTTCATTAATTTAATGTACTTCCTTCACACGACGCATTTTTATCGCAAGCTTACCGATGCCTTTATTACGTGAGTTAATGAAAAAACCGATGATACATGGTCCTGGCTAGCTTTTACTGGTTTGAAGTCTCTTCTATGAAGCCTGCTCCGAAAGGATCGGGAGAGGTAAATTTCCCGCGGATTACAATCATATTTCAATTTCATCGAAATTCCTGACATGGAGCACTGAAAGTGGGGATCGCGTAATTATTCACGGCTAGTTAGATCCTTGAGTCGATCCGATCAGAGTGAACAGGATTACTGAAAGTGTGCACACCGACAGGAGGGTTTTACTAACGGGGAACCAATCAAACGGAGCACCGCCTGAGACTTCAAAACGGAATCGAATAATCTAATCGTGTTGGCCGCTGCTGATGGCACAGGAAAATTTTTCCGTTCCTATAAATGTCTTACTGCGTAAAATATATTATAAAAAAAGAAAAACAGAAAATTTTATATTCTTTTATATCGTTGTGTAAAAATATTAAATATATTAAATATAAAAATATTAATTATAGGTAATTACGTTCTTTGAAAAAGTCTTTCTTAGAATATATTTAAATGTGTGCTGGTTAGGCCACTGTCCTTTACTTTCATTGGAAAACGTGCATATTAACGAACATTGATTGTGTTATTATTCTATGTTCATTATAAAGAATTTTCCAATTGTTGTAAGAAATGTTGTTTTTGTTCAGGTTTGTATAAAAATGAGAATCGTATGAAAATGAGAATTTGCATAAAAATCTGCAGTTTACCAATTACATACTTCAATCAAGAATTAAAATCTCCCTTGTCGATTGATTTCGGGCTACCTAATCAAGACGATCATTCTTCGAGTCAATCAAACATTGTAGGAACAGAATTTTGCTACCGACAATTTGACGTTGTCTTAATTTCGACATTCATCGTACTCGTTCAATAACAATAATAATAATAATAATAATATTTAAAAACACACTTCTACAAATTATGGTAGTCATATAAGATACGAAGAACCTGTTTTTCTCACATTTAACGCCACGTTTCTTTGAATTCGACAACCCTCGCCCCCTTACAGGGAAAATATGATGCGTAATACATTCTTGAATAACTTTGGAAATTCTTTGTCCATAGGTACAACGTCATATTCATGATACTGACATACTTCTTGCCGATCGGATCCATGACATTCACGTATGCTAGGATTGGTCTGGAGTTATGGGGATCGCAAAGCATCGGCGAAAATACGGCAGGACAATTGGAGAGTATACGAAGCAAACGAAGGGTACGTGATTTTCTTGTTAACGAACTTACGAACTCGACACTTGTATAGCGTTTAAGATCAAACGAATCAAAGAGACGTATTGTGAATTAACCGGCGGACACTGTCATTTCGTGACACGATCGAGCTCATCGATTCGCTTGCAAAATGCAAGACAAGAAACGAACGCGAACGGTGAACTGACACGAGGATGACGAAGGAAATTGACTTTCGATTATCTGCTAATCTGCATCTGTCTGTGCAGTTATTGCGGATCTACCTTGAAAGATACCGCCCATTAAACTTTGAAACATGAACACTGCTTCCATATCAGTTCTGGAAATTGATCGGCAGACCGACCTCCATGCAGTTTGCGCAGAACAGTTCGCTTCCGAACGTAAGATAGCACGCGCCACTGCCAATTACCTTCAACAATAAATAAAACGTTAACAGATTCCATCATATGCTTCTCGATTAATCTAATGAAAATGAAATCAAATATATGTTGATATAACAACTCTCTTCTAGGAACCGTGGTAACGAATTATTTCTACTATAATTAAATCTTATTTTGTTATATAAACATATACCATGCAGTCTCTGTTCTCTCAAACACCAATCAATCTGCTTCTTTAATCTTTAGTCCATTTCAGTCTTTATTTCCATTGATACTTCTCTCGTAATAATTCTTCAAATACTCCACTAGCAGCTGTATGTACTGCGGTTGCTGTTTAGACCACGCAACCAATGTTTCAAAAGCCATCTTAATGTCGTCATGGCTGAGTACTTCGTCTTCACCTTCGCCCTCACCATTGCTCTTCTCCTCATCTTCGTCCCCGTTTTCCTCTGTCTCATCCTTCAAGAAATGTCTCTCCATCTCCTGGCATCGTAATAAAAATTCGTTTACAGTCTCTTCAGGCTGCCCTTCTCTGGCGATAAGGCCAACAATGTCCTGTAAAGTGGACTCTAAAGGGTCCTCCTCCGGCTCTGCTTCTATTAAAGACGATCTCCAGGTATTTCTGACTACGCTGCACCACGTGTTCTGAATACTCGCCATTGTAATTTCCATCCACGCCGCGGACAACAGGTCGATGCAATCTATCAAATCGAAATCGTGATAAAATCTTCGCGCGCCTTTCGGAAAAATCAGCATCTGGTGCAGCATCTTAAGGCGATAGATCATCTTGACCCGTTCTACCACCTTCTCTTCTATCGCCATCATGAGGGAGGCAGCACTCTTTGGTAGAAATATAATTTCGAAGTTATCGTTACTCCGCTCTTTGGCCAACTGCAGTCTATGCTTCTGATGGGAGTCCAGAAGCAGCAAAACCTTTCCGCCTTTATCGGGAAACTGTAGTATTCTCACGGTTGGCTTGAAGTGTTTGTTGTACCACTCCGTGAACACAGCATGGTCCATTTGAGCCCGCGGCTGACTCGCGAAGATCACAGGCAGCTGATCTCTGCAGTGCTTCAACGCGTTCGATCTTCCACGCTTGTGGATAAACAGAGGCGCGAGCTTATGATTGCCGAACAGGTTTACGCACAAACCTATGGTAACGCACTCCTTTTCGAACTTCGATATCATGTGCCTCTCTTCTAAACTGGGAGCCAGGAGATTCTTGGGGATAACCTTCCAGGCAAGACCGGTGTCTTTCAAATAGTAAATATTCTTGCTTGGTATCTTCTCTTGTGACAGCCTTCTCGTGAAGTTTCTTAAGAATAGCTGCGCCTCCAAATCCGGGGGCATCGTTTCCATTGCATTCGCTTTCGTGTTCGAACACGATGCCATGTTCTCCGTTCTATTCGCATTCGTCCTCGAACACGACGGCATGTTCACCGTTGTATTCGCATCCGTCTTCGAACACGACGGCACGTTCATCGTTGCATGCGCTTTCGTCCCCGAACACGACGACATGTCCACTGTTGCATTCGCATTCGTCCACGAACACGAGGGCGTGTTCTCCGTTTCATTCGCATTCGTCCCCGAACACGACGGTGTGTTCTCCGCTTCATTCGCATTCGTCTCTGAACACGAGGGCGTGTCCTCCGTTTCATTCGCATTCGTCTTCGAACACGACGGTATGTGCTCCGTTTCATTCGCATTCGTCTTCGAACACGACGGTATGTGCTCCGTTTCATTCGCATTCGTCTTCGAACACGACGGTATGTACTCCGTTTCATTCGCATTCGTCTTCGAACACGACGGCGTGTTCATTTCAGCGCTACTTACAGCTGCATTCAATCCTGAGCTACCGTCAGCGATGGCTGGATTCAAAAACATATACGAACCGGCGAATGTTGCATGGTTCACATATACAGGCACATTTTCGGACGTTTTAAGATATTTATGTGGATCTATGAATAACGGCGGACTTATGCACAACCTCAGATACGGTGTCGCGTTCTCGTTCCAGTCGGCCGTCCCCGCATTCGCGTTCTTTGACGTCGGTGGCATGCTTATTAATATTCCACTTATTTTCGTGAATGAGAGATCAGTGGCTTCGTCGTCTTCCATCTCGATGTCATGACGCGTTTTGAAGTCCTGCAACCAGCTTCCGCTGAACGTTGTTGATTCACCAAGCGACTGACAGATTTCCAACGCTTTCGCTAAGAGCTGCGTATCAGTGACTTCTCGATCATTAGCCTTCTCTTCCAGAAACCAAGTATATAGTTGACTGTTTATTTCTTCGTTGATCGACCCTCGGATCATCGTCGGCATCTTCGCTACGTTACTTCGTCTCCAAGTCGTTAAATACCTGGCGTAGCTTCTCCAATCTAATGGATGCTGATTAAGTGTGGAGAAAAGTTGCTAGCTGGTTCGATGAACAATGTTGTTGCACAGTATCCAGTCCCAATGTAATGATTTTCTGACGATGATTGCTAGATTACTAAACGCGACAGTAAAAATATTTGGATCTCAAACAATTTTTCTAATAAAAACACGACACGATCGTGTAGCTTCTGTATATTTCAATCAACGCAGATGACGGTTCTTCTGCATGGAAACGCGCAGACTACTTATGGCTGGCTCTCTTCTTAAGCGGCATCTAACAACCAACGATAATGTTTCTTGCGAATCAACTCTGTGCATTGTACGACTGAAGAGCAGATTCTTAATCGGTGACTGATTTTTGTGTGCACGAAGAATCCAAAAGCCATGAACGAGTGTGCACGAAGGTACAGAGGTTGGTCCCTGAAAAAATAAATTTGGGAAACATTCGAATACGTTCATTTCCTATAGCATGTCGCAAATTACTTTGATGTATAATCTTTATAAATACTAATGGAAATGTCACGACACAGTATAAATTAAAAATTCTATCGAGTAAAAATGCGATGATATTAAGAATTATTTGATGACCAACTTAAATTGGTTTAAATAATAGGTCAAATGTACATTTGTTAGAGATATGAATGAATAAAAAAATAGAAGCATTAAGAGGAACAAGAACCTGATAAAAAACAAAAAGAAAATATGCTGACCTTTATAATAATATGTAACCAGAGAAAGGTAACCAGAGATAAATTATATTTTTAAACCGACGAGAAGATACTATCTTGCAAATATATCATTTGCAAATATTCTCGCAAGATATTACTTATTTGTTAAAGTGTTTCATTTCAAATTTGTATCTTTGAAATAATTGGCTTCCATGATTTTGTACCCAATTAGAAGAAGATAAACGCAACAAAAAGATACGGAAATTAATTTTATAAATCTAATAAAATTTAGTATCTTAATCGAAAATTAATACAGATGGTATGAATTTAAAACGTGTTTCGACTTGAAATTGGCTTTTCTAATTTATAATTTACAGGTTTTTAGGTCGATCGAACTTTTGCCATTGGCTGTACCTTCCCGCTCGAGCGATGGGAAAATTTAAAGCGCACGTAAGCACAAAAGGTACACGCGGTTCGTGATTTCATTAGCTTTAATAAAAGTGAACAATAAGTTTTATCCACGTCATTTACGATCGCATGCCTTTCTAATTGGGGTCGTACAGAACTACGGAACTATTTCCGACCTCGTTTAAGAAAGTTCGTTGCCACATAAAACACAACAAAATGGAAGTAAGAAATCAATTACCCCCCGCCAAGGGAATTAATGCTCTCAAACGCTAAACTTTCCATAATTTAATAATTTCCGCTCGCGAGTAGGAGCATATATAGTTCCACATTTATCGGAAAACTCTCAACGCGTTATAAATTTCATAAAGATAAATCGGAAATGGAAAGAGCTCTTCTTTATTGGGCGATATTCTGCACACTTTGATGCATTTTGTTGCGCTCTGATATGTTCGGTCGTCGATCATCACTCAGTTGTGGGTGACGGGTCTCTTGTTTCAAGCAGTTCTTTAAAACGATGGGAATATCGATTTCCGAACAAAGGGATCAAATGCTGCATATTTCGAGGGTGCTCGAGGTTGAAGCAAAAGAAAAACTCGATTAGCCGGAATGCGAGTCGCGATGATGAACAAACTCAAAGCTGGAGAAGCGAACCGCAGCCAGAGTATTATGCCGCATTGGCACGCACGTGTAATAGTGGTTTGCAGTTTAAACGTTAAGCCCTGTTGTAAGTTGTAATTAGACGATCTACCGGCAGGCTGTTCATCTCAGGAATCGCACTTTAATCCTCCGAATCTGTTAAAATCACGTGTCTGGGATCAGCCTGCGATTAGCCTGAACATTCTTGCTTCCTCGTGAAGCGTCGTTTATAGAGCTTTGCTACGCGATTCGCAAAATTCCAGTCGCGGATAATCACTCGAATTTCTCAATAAAATTCGTACACAATTTATGGTTTCCCTCTGCTATCCGAACGAGGACCCTTTACGCAGCCCTGACAGAATGGGCAGGATTTGTGCAATCGCTGACAATATTTCCTGCATACTCGACCGAAGTCCGATACTCCTGTGGTATGCCGACATCGAGTTGTCAACTATATCAACAAATGCGATTTCGAGGCAAACAAGTTCGATATTTTATGCGCTCAATTTTTTGCCCAAACTTCCGGTTCGAAGGGCCATAGTTTTTTATTGCAACGCTTTCTCCGGGGACCGTTCGAATGTTATTTTTGAAAGTTCGAAGTTCGACTTTCAGAGATAATATTTGATATTGTCGAATAGAAAAACGCAGCTCTGTTACTTTCCTGAATGTTTTAAATGAAACGTGGCAGAAAATAATGAAGAAGACTTTTATTTTCAAGGTGGAAATTTAAATAAAATTGAGTCAGTCTTCTGTTTAATTGTTCGCTATCGCGGCAATGTTTTGCGATGTTCCTCGCGAAGATTATGGTGATTATTATACTGCGGAGTTTTATGCAGATCTTCGTGTTCTCGTTTAATTTTTTGGAAATTAAAATGGAGAAAAATTTCTTCGGCTATGAAAATCTTCCCGGTGAAACCAAAATAAAAATGCTTTCGTATATTTTGTTGATCTGTTAATTACCGTTGCGTTTCGCATTACAGCAAAGACATAATATTATATTTAAAAATTAGATACGAAAATATTTCGCGTGTACACAACGATAACATTATGCTTAATGTTCGTCGAAATATCTTCTGCAGAAATTATCCTAACTTGTTCCATTAAATACTTTCTGTAAAAAGTAGAGCACTGTTCTACGGAAGTTCAGAATCTCAGCATTACCAACTCATCGCGGAACAGTTTACTCCTGAAAAAAGAAAACTTTCCTCTAATTTAATCGCAAGATTCCAAATGCGTCCGAGCTTTTAAAAACATTACGAGTGTATCGGCAAATTTTTATAACGATAACAAGAAGATAATGCTTTGACTAAATTACGAAAATTACTAGAGAGCACAAATGTAATTTCAACATTTATAATAAACTTTTTCTTTCTACAAGAGTTTTACAGTTACTGGAGTTATAAAGATGTTTCTTTATTCAAGGATAAAATTGGACGAGTCACGTGAAATATGCAAAATCCCCAAAGAACTCAACACAAAATCTACAAATTCAAATAAAATAGAGAAAACCACCAGAAATTTTCGCACGACGTTCGATTAAATCAATCCTGTCATTCTTATCGAACAATTTATATTAGTCGCGTTAGTCGATTATCCGATGCAATCAATTTTAAAGATCTTGTTAGAGAAGTCTGTAACCGTATAACGAAGCTTATCGCTTCGTAGATCCACACAAGATTTACATTAACTAAACAAACAATGATTTTTAACCGTTTATAAAATAGCTTATCGTGCCCTCCGAAATAAAACGTAATAGATCACGCTGAAGTACTTTTCCCGGAATAAATAAATACTTTTTAGATACGAAGGGGAAAAAGTATATCAGGTTAGACCGGTAATTTAATTGAATGAAAACGGCGAAAGCAGGAGAAAGGTTGGGGTAGTATTCCGCGCACGAGGACGACGAAATTTATAATTCTCCCCTGTGCCGAAGTGGTTTTATTGGATTACGATTAAACGGCGAAGAGGCCTGTGTCTTCTTCCGCCTACGGATTCCGTTCGTCCACTTTGGCAGATACATAATTACAATGCAACTCATTATTCAGCCTAAGTTATTCCTAAAATGTTTCCTCCCAAATTTCTATTGTATCATCCTCGTCGCACGCGAATGAAGTTTTAACGATACGTACACTAGGCACTAATTGCTGTGCCCTTGGTTTGTTACCAGGCATAATTAATTTTATACGTACTCAATTTTTTTATTCTTTTATTTTGTTTATCTTTGAATTCGAATTCTTTTATTTTGCTTATTTTTTAATTCTAATTTTTTTATTTTCTTTATTTTTTTATTCCAATTCTTTTATTTTCTTTATTTTTAAATGAAAGCATTCAATATGTCTTGTCCAAACAACAGCAAACACAAACCAATGACGCTGCAACTGGTGAACCCACAGTAACCAGCTCAGAAAATCGATTTCAATAGAAAACGTAATAGACGAAGATCTCATTACATTAACACTGGAAGATAATAACAGAACGATAAATTTCCTCGTGTAATATATCACGCTAGACATGATTTGAATTCTCTGTACAATAAAACGATGTTAACAAGAAACTTCCAGCTGCCGCTCTATAGCAGCCATTTTGTAAATTAGACCGACCGGTGTTCAGTTCCTTAAGAAATGAAAAATAGTAATTACAGAAGTCCCTCGACCTTCAAAATTCTCGCGGTACCATCACGCTTCTGTATCACGTTGGCTCCATTAACGATCTGTCGGCTCTTTGAATTAATAATTTTGCATTGGTGTCCGAAAGGCGAGAGTTTGTATCGTGCATAAAGCGCGGGGGACATGAAAACTCCTGATTAAAATTCAAAATAAAAGGAGCCATCTAAAGGGACCTATTATCCGCGGTTCAAGCAGAAAACCGCCAGGGGAATCTGTACGGCGCCTTTCGGGCGGGGATACGAAGAATACCACTTTTCCGTGACGTTAATTGCACGACGTCCATTATGTTGTCCGAAAAGAAATTGGATGCGTTCGTGTCATATCGACCTCGAAATGTCTAACGTGTTGTCCATCGAACGTTATTACAGTGACCAAGAATTTCTTTCTTTCCGACGATGGTCTCCTACTTGTTCGCGCACGAGTCTAAATCGACGAGACCGATGCTACAGCTTTTCGATGGCGTAAAATTATCAAGTTTGAACCGCCTTCAGTTTATCTATAGCCTCAATGTTGTTAAAACTACTTGTCGAACTTTTAAGTGGAGTTTGAATTTTCCCTTGATCAAGGGAACTCTAGTAATTCATTAGTAGACTGCCGATTTAATGGGTTTACAATAAGTAGTTTACAAAAGCAGAAGAAACATCGAAAGAATTTAATTCAATTTTTATTTTGTATGAAAATTTGCTTAGCTGTTGTTCCGATTGTTAGCGTATTGTCGTTCGTATTCGATTTAAGGTCTTTAACCCTAGAAAGATAACCATATGACAACGTACGTAAAAGATAACCATACGCTTCAGAGGCGCATGCTTTTCTAAGGCGTCAATTTTATACTAACAATGGATATTTATTTAAGTTAATCTAGTCATTTTAAAGGTTTGGCATTATTGTAAAAATAAAATGCATTTATATTATATTTTTTTATATTTTAAGTAATTTTAAACTTAAATCACTAGACCTCTATGAAAAATTAACAAAAATCAACAGTCTTC